GTACTTTGGGGTGGAGATCGTCCAGACCAGCTGATTTGAATACATCCAGTCCCTCCAGAAGTTCCCTAACTAGTTCCTCACTAACCCTTGGCCCAGGTGCGCCTCCCCTAGGGTTTAAGGGGGGCCCAGAGGCGGGGTGGCTGTTCTAGCCCCTGCTCAGGGAAACGGAGGCAAAGAAAACGTTAAATATGTTAGCTTTGTCATCTGGTGTGACAACCAGATTTTCTAGCGTGGGTTTTATGTGGGTTTAATTCATTTTGTGATTCTTTCAAACAGTTCCAAAAGTTAGATTACTATCTAATCTAAACACATCTCTGTAAGTGTCCAATGAATGTGTACTTGAGTATTAAAAATGTTATAAACTTTGGAAATGCAAGTAGTCCCTGGTTAATTCTATTCCACAGAGGCGAGGAATGATTGTCCAAAATTATAATATTCGCACTCTATTTACCCAATTAATCTCTGTACTATTGATGTCTTTTTGCTGCCCTTTAAAACACATGGCAACCAACTCCAAAAAAAATCTAACAGATTTGTAGATTGTTTTCAGGATTGAAGGTTTAGATTTCCATTTGAGTTCTCATATTGACATTTTGGTCTCTAAAATATGTACAGTAATAAATACAGAAAAACTCTTAAGGTAAACCATTTCTTTCCCTGGTTCTACACTGTTTACAAGGAACGTATTTTGGCTCCCATTTGCTTCTAAAGGAAAGACAAGCCAGTCAAAAAGCCAGCTGATTTTCCAATATGAGGTTCTTGACCTTTGAAGTTAGTTTAAGATTTCCCACATTTTTATCTTATTCTACCAATACTGTATTTAAGAGGAGAGTTCTATTTTACAAAGTAATATCCATGTTCCAAGTAGATAAACTAAAGATTAAAAGACAGATCCATTTATCCCAACAAGATAATAAGACTAGAAAATTGTCTGGAACATTGGTTCTTAATTGAGGTATTACAGCACCCCATGGTACTGCAATGCAAGTGCTGCAGCAATGGCATCCAGGTAAAACTGCCCCACACACAGGGCTGCAGCACACAATACAAGAGAAATGCAATAACCCTAAAGCAAGAATGAGAACTGGCTTGGACTACAGCTCTTCCCGGTCCAGCCCCACCAACCACAACCCTCCCAGAAACAGAGGCAGATGGGACAGTTCCACCTATCCCAGACACCTCTTTCCAGAAGACACTATGTGGAGTCGGACAAGAAAGGTCTGCAGCTGAGCTTCCTCTCCTGCCTACTTTAGGGTTATTATCAGAGAAGCATAATGCAAGAGGAGTATATGCACATGCTGCAGCCCTTCCCAGTCTGGCTGTACACAACACAACACACACAAGGCAACTTTACCTGGAGGCAACATCACCAAATTAAGAAGAACCGAGATAAGTTGAGCACAACTGTGGTTCTCAACCAAAGGTACCACCACATTCAGAAAAGTTGGGGAGGGAGACCCAACCCTGAAAAGGATGAGAACCACTGAACTAGAAAAACAGCGCAGCACACTATCGGCATCTGCCATTTGTTTGGTTTTGTTCTGCTTTGTTGCAATCTGCCTCTTACTCTCCAGGACCCCACCAAAGGAAGCCAATTTGATTAAAGTACCAGCTCAATGAATGAATACAGATAACCATACAGGGTTGAAATCAAGACTGTAAAAGGGAAGCAAGAGAACCCAAAAATGTTGGCTGTTTAGCCGAGTTTCCTGGAAAACTTCACAGATGTTGAGGTCCAGAGACATGGAGATTCATTGCTAAAGCCAAATACAACTGCTCCATTTTCCTGATACACTTGCACAGTAGGAGGGAAGATGTCATAATTGCCTGAACATCACAGAAGAAAAAGAAATTCTTGAAAATAATCAAGACATTTTTGTAACTGAGAATTCTCTGTGGTTGTAAGAAACAAAACATATTTCAACAAAAAGGCTAACGCAACATTCCTGTGGAATTTGATCCCTTTGTGCTCAGAACAAAAAGGTCTGATTACAAAAGAAAGATTAGTATTAAAAAACGGTTAGGACACAAAGCTAGAAAGAGAACAAGAGGGATGTGATTTAAAAGGCTGTAAGAGCATTGTATGGCCTATGAGGTTATGAACTACATTAGGATGCGATAAGAGAAACTCTGATGCATATGAGCCAGGCTCTTCAAGCACCTAAATTTGTGGCTGTCCCACGGATGGAATTTCACATACACCAGTTTGCAAACTAGACAAAAGGAAAGTGCCATCGCATTCAGTGAGCAGAATTTATGTTAGGGCCCTAACACAGTTGAAAATTTTAGAAATAGTTATTCCCCACAAAAAAATTGTGCAGAAAGGTCATGACCATTTGTTAGTTACCTTTTTGTCCTTTTTTAAGGCTCTCTACATAGTTTTCATAACGTTTTTGTTTTTCTGGATTTTTTGCAAATGGTTTGAAGTCACTAGAGCCAGCAGTTGCTAACTGCTCCCCCAATGCCATTTGCCATTTCTGATGAGCACTTTCTCGGCAGGTTGACTGAAATCTACTATGTACAGATTGCTGAGGCAATGGTTTTGTTTTCAGTTGTTGTTCAGATGCTTGTTTCGCTTCTTTGATTCTCTCTCTGTCTTTCTCTGACAAATACTCTAAAACAGAAGGAGCTGGACCTGAACAAAGAAAGAGCAATGGAAAATAAATGGAAAGGAGAAGCATTTGAAACTCTACCATATGAATAAAAATATACTACACATTGGTATTATTCCCTGTCTAAACAAAACCATTCATATGTAGAGGATGCTTGTATAGACATTCACAGAAAACACAAATAATCAGTGAAAAAAATCAATCATCTAATAGTTAATATTATATGCTAATATTATGCAGAAAATCTCAAAAGGATGTTTTAAATGACCTTTTAAATACAGGAAGTGGCTTACTTCAAAAGTAACCTTTACTGCTAAGTTTTACTTTATATATTATATATATTCACATTAAACTGTAAAAATCTAATATTATAAAAGTCTAGCCTGTCAATCTGTCCGTAATGCTTTATTTGCACTCTGATTGGCTGACAGAAACAGCCAGAGTGCTCCAAGCATGGGGGAGTGCTGCCATTATTCTGAAGCTGCAGCGAGGACTGGACAGAGGGTGGGGCAGTCGAGGCCAGCCCAACCTGCTCTCTGTAAGCCATGCCAAGGATCGGACAGCGGGTGGGGGAGCCAAGGCCAGCACTCCCACCCCACTCCCTGTAAGAGGCAGAACAGCAACAGCATGGGGCATTAGGTGGTGGCACTCCATCCCAACCCCTCTACCCCCTGTCATTCTTGATGGGCAACTGGCACGCGCACACGTGTGTGTGTTACACACACACATTGCATCTTGAGCACATGCACAATAAATGATATTTGGGAATTAAATTTGCCACATTGTGAAAGGCATTTTGGTTAATACAATCTGTCTTTAATTTAATTTTTAATTAAAATACATGTTCAAGACCATATGAAGTATATTCAAACTTGCAGTCTAGTCAGAGGTAAGAAAATCTAAAATTACTATGATGAAACAGGAATTGTATCATCACATATGTACCTTTTAGAGCAGTCTCTCCTAACAAGTCCCTCCTCTGAGATGCATTCAGCGTATGCCTGCTTTGCTGTGCTGTATCACTCTCAAGCTTTCCAGTAGATTCCACTAATGCCTTCAGTAAAGGGGAGTTTTCACTGCTAGCTGTTATCACAGGTCGAAAGTAATGGACTGGTCTGTAACCCCTTGGCAGGTCAGGTGGTGGATAAGTCTTCCAGAACAAACAGAAAACATACTGACCATTGTCAGTTTATCTTATATAATTTAACAATAGAAAGGAAAGATGTAGAGTATCAGTTTTATACATGTACAGTATTAACTGTACAGTATCAGTTAATCTGAGTCAATAAATCAATTGTATTGCAACAGACAAACATATTTAAATTTGGAAAAAATAGTTACTGAATTGTCAACATATAAAAATTACACCAAATTAAGAATTAACAGGAGTTAAGAAAGGTAGTCAGCCATGTTAGTCTGAAATCAGGTAGAAGTCATGGCAGGGTAACACCTTAAAAATTAACAGGAGTTATAAGAAGTTAGTGAGCATGTGCTGCTTTCAACTTTAATTCAAGAAAAATACTTTGGATATTGCGTAATAGCCATTTCACCTTCTTTAATCATGTGCATTTTGATATATTTAAAAATGCAATAGGCATCTTCTGGCTTCTCAAACACCTTCAGTTGCTCCACTGAAACCCTGTTTTTCTTTCTCCCATAGTAATAGCCTTGAATAAGAAGATACCTCCAGTTCTTCAAATGCAAAACTATGTTCAGTAGATTTTTCTTTGTCCTCTCTTCTTTTCTTTGTGCCTGAACTAGCCCATTCTACACTTATATCAACATAGCTTGCATTTAAAAATGAAGTCCCAAAAGCAGGGTTTAAGCACTAAATTAATTTGTACTGGCAGAACAAGTTGATTGTGGGGGGAGGGGGAGAAGGGGGGGAAAGGTGTCTTGACTACTGAGAAAACATGACATTATGTCTGAAAGACAGAAATAGAATATGTAAATTGTTCCTTTAGGTTAAATCAACCCAACTGTAAAAACAGCTGCCAGGCTGAGAGACCAAGTTGAAAAATGTTTACCAAATCCAGTGGCTGGACAAATTTCAGGTTCACATTAACAGTCTGAAAAAACTTTAGTTCTGGTTGTTCTGGGGGGTTCTGCTGCTTGCCTATTCCTATTACAATATATTGGAAGGCATTAGGATACAGTAATAACGAGGGGACTTGCTGTTAAACTGTGTATCCCTCTTTGGTACTACATTGGAATTCTTTGCATTTTTGTTGCATATACCATCTAATTACTATTGACATGGACAAGACTATTAATTGTATTTGAACATGCAATAGAGAAGAGATTAGATTAGCTAATCTATCTAAAAAAACCCCCAAAAAACAAAACCTGGTTTACTTACCTTGCTTGGAGCTGCCGACTTAGATGCTAAAGAAAAGCCATCCAGAATTTTGCCAATATATTTTACTTCAGCTTCTAATCCTATTAAATGAGGATAATGTTACTCAGCATTTTCAAAGCCAACAGCATAGACTTTTTAATGAAAATTTCAAAAGATTCTAGGATTAAAGGATGCTGTTTCAGAGAACAGTGTCCTGTTTTTTTGTTTAAATTCCACCCCACCTCTAGAGCATATGTAAATGTGTGCTAAAGGACTACCTTCCCCTACAGATATCAGCCCTCCTGTATAAGAGCTAGAGCTTTACTCCCATGAAACAGATATTTCAGAAGAGGCACTAGATCAACTTCCAACTCCAAGTGTACTGGCACAGCTAGACAAAGAACCAGCACCTTCCAGCCCAACAACTTAGCAAGGCCATAGACTCTCTAGCAAGTGAAAAAGCACCAGGGGAGGATGGCATCTCAGCTGAGGTTCTCAAGTGCAGGAAGGCTAGCCTGCTACCACACCTTTATCAACATTAAGTGTACTTCTGGGAAGAAGGTCAAGTACCCCAGGACATGTGATGCTAACATCATCACTCTCTACAAGGAAAAGGGAGACAAGGGTGACTGCAACAACTATAGAGGCATCTCTTTTTTCAGCATCACAGGCAAGGTTTTTTTTTTGCCAGAGTCGTCTTGAAATGCTTGCAACAACTTGCTGGCCACATCTACCTGGAATCACAGTGTGGATTCAGAGCAGGGAGATAAGTGGATATATGCTCCTCATGCCAACCGCAAGGAAAATAAAGAGAACAAAATAAGCCACTGTACGTAGTACGTGTTGACCTGATGAAAGCCTTCGACCCTGTCAGCAGAGCAGGTTTGTTCAAGGTCCTGGTAAAGACTAGATGCCCCCCAAGATTACTCTGCATGATGCACTTCTTCCATGAAAACATGCAGGCCACAGTTCAGTTTGATGGCTCAACCTCTGACAGGTTTGAGATGAAGAGCGGAGTGAAGCAGGGTTGTGTTCTGGTAACCACGCTGTTTGGGATCTTCTATGCAGCTGCACTACACTTTTGATGGCTTGAAGGAAGGCAAATACCTTTACACACGATCAGATGGCAAACTCTACAATCTATCATATCTAAAGGCCAAGACAAAAGACACCATCTATCTGTTTTGACGACACATTTCTCGAGGCAGTGAACAAGTTCTGCTATGTTGGATCCACAGTGAGTGACAACCTATTACCGGATGAAGAGCTAAATATGCGCATTGGAAAAGCAGCTACCATTTTCAGCAAGCTCTCCAAACAAGTCTAGAACAGGGGTAAGCAACCCCTGGCACGGGTGCCAGACCGTGGCATGCAAAGGCATCTTGCGTAGCACACACACCTCAGGGTAGATGGTGGGGAAGGGGTCAGAGTAGTGCTGCTACAATAAGAATTGGGCCCCTGGCACACCAACATCTTACAAGTCAAGTTTGTGGGTGTTCTTGGCACTCTGCCCAAAAACACTGCTGACCCCTGGTTTAGAACAAAACTCACAATCAAAACTAAGCTGCTTGAGTACAAAGTGTGCATCCTCAGTGTCCTTATGTATAGCAGTGTGGTCAACTTATGTATATCAAGAAAAGAAGCTGAACAGTTTCCACCTGTGCTGTTTACAGTGCATCCTTAACATAAAGTGGCAAGAAAGAATTACCAACACAGAGGTCATCGCCAAAGCCAACCACTGCTGCACTACTCAAACAGCAGCGCCTATGCTGGCTTGGCCATATTCACAGGATGGAAGATTGGCATATCCTAAATGACATCCTGTATGGGCAAATTGCAGGTGGAGAGAGAAGAGTAGGGCACCCAAAACTGTACTTCAAAGATGTCTGCAGACAGCATATAAAGGCTTTGGAATCAACCCAAACCTTTGGGAGGTCTTAGCAGGAGACAGAACAAAGTGGCACACCCTTCTCTATGATGGAGTCCAACATCATAACAAGAAATGGTCACTCAAATTGCAACAGAAACATGACCGAAGGAAACAGCCTATCAGTACAGTAGCCCTTAATAACATGTAGCTCTTAATAACCTGTGACCACTGTGGCAGGATCTGCAAATTTAACATCAGTCTTTATAGCCACAAGAGAAAATGTGCCACCAGTGAAAAGAATAACTGCAATATCCACCGTCACTTGCTGATGAATGGATGCCATCATAAGAGTCCCATTCATTATTAGTTTCTTATAGCAGCCACTTTTGGTGGCAATTTTTATCTGTACATTTATGCAGTTTCACATTTTAGTTTTTATAAGCAGTTAAAAGTTGACACTTTTAATTAAAAACAATCAAAAACATGGTCTAACATTGCTAAATGTAAACCATTCTGGATAAAATTCTCTATGCCAAATGCCCAACCCAGGATAAATGTGTTTGAAAGAATGTACCTAAGACCTGTTTCCAAAAATGAGAACACAGAAAAACTAAGTCTAGCTCCCCCCTTTTTTTTAAATCTCATAATCGTTTCGTTGAGAAGTTCTGTCACCTCATGCTTCAGAGCAGGGGCTTGAATTCTGGCATGCTGGTGGCTGGGGCCAACTTCAAAGCTTCTAAAAGATCTCTGTTCACACCACATACTGGGCACATCTACACAAGATGTTTACTGTGGAGCTGCCTAATTAGCTTTGCAGTAAAGTCTCAATGTCCACGCATGCAGCCCTGTTAAGCCACGGGAAACTAATTCACTCTGCCACAGGTTAGTACTTGTATTTATAAGTACTATCCTACTGCGGAGTTCTTTAATGCACAGTGTTAAGTATGTGATTAAATTATTAAAGATTTTATCATAATGTATACATGCAAGACAACCGAAATAAGGTTGCAGAGGCAATCTAAATTCTGGTGTTTCCTAACACGACCTTGCAACCTTTGTGTTCTTTTAACAAAATTTTGGTACATAATACTTATTATCGACATGTGTCATACAACTTTGAAATGAGCAATGTTTTTCTGCATTTTCATTGTGAAGGTGTTTTTCACTTAGTACTTCTCCTGCTGTAGAAAATGTTTTCAGAAAAACATGCTAACTGAAATAACAGAGGTTTTCATTTACAGTAAAAGCTCTGTTATCTGGCATCCCCCAAGAACAGGGGATGCCAGATAACAAAATATGCTGGTTAACTGAGTGGCCCAAACAGGCGTCTTTGCCTGTTCAGGCCACCACTTCTCCTGCCACATCCAGGGTGTCACTGCCCCTCCCGCAGCATCGCCAACACTCCCGTGGGCCCCCGCGCAGCCTGCTTTGCCCCAGACCGTGGGGGCTCGGAAAAACTGGAAGTGCCACGGTGGGCGCTTTCAGTTTCACTTTACCTTACAAGCCAGTATGCCAGTTAATAGAGTATGCCAGCTTGTAAGGTGCCAGTTAACGGAGCTTTTACTGTAATATACATTTTTGAACTTCTAGTAAAGGAAGAGGTTAAAGTGATCAGATTGCAGGGCTAGAAAATAACAATCCTTATCAGACTTGGGAAACAGACATGAGTATTATCATATTCATTCCTACAGCAGAGTTAAACTTAATTTGGATTCTCTTTATTCTTACTTTTCTTGTTTTTATATTGGTTTGGTGCAGTCCAGCCATACAGTCCATCTCCAGGCTCCTCGTCTTTTAGAACAGTATCATATTTGGACAATTTTTCAGTAGCATAGATATCATCATCATCATCTTCTAAAGCTCCTACGCCAAAAGCCTTAAAAACAAGATTTCAGGTTTAAAATCATTAGAATCTGAGAACTTCAAATGAGCTGCTCCGTCTTTAAAAAGTCATGCATTAGCACACATCTAGGCAGGCATACTCTCTGGTTGAAATTAAACTACACACTTGAGAACAGCTCAGTGGCTTACAGTACTGCCAAAATGGAGACCTACAGTCAAAAAGCAAACATGTTCTCCCACTGCCCAAACAGTGAGGGACTGGAGACACTGAGTTAGACGTATGTTTGACCCTGCTTCTTGTAAGCAACAAGATGAGCTTTCTAAAACTAACCGATACAACCTAAGGTCTGAGTAAGTGTAGGATAGTAAGGATAGCATTGTAACAATGGAAATATTTCCATTTACAGCACAAATTTCAATGGTCTTGAGTAGAAGTCTAGCCCAAGGACACACTAGGAAGTACCAGGTTTGGCCCTTGGGGGCTCTCCTGCAACTTTGTGAATACCTACAATAAAGAAAAGGTAAGGGTGTAAAATTATTTTAATTTCCCTTTCCTACACAAAATAACTATTGTAATAATGCAAAAAACCTGATAGTTATCTTCTTCAACCAAAAAAAACCCAACTTTATCTGAACCTTGAATTTAACTTGGCATTTTTTACTTGCCTAGTTAAGTCACTTTCCCATCCTGTACTTCAGTTGTCTCATTTTAAATCTACTATAATTATCAGCTTGCCTCTCAGTCATTTCAAAGTTTCATTTATGTTTATGCAGTGCTCTGAGTCTGAGAAAGAAGAAAAACAGACTAGCACAAACATGGTTATTAGTGGTAATTGCATTTTCAATATACTTAAAATAGGAGAGAAAAATTATTTTAAAACGATGCTGCAAGATAGTACGTACAACAACACTGCAACACTTTTACCTGCCCTGAGATACCCAGTTTTCTTCCTTTACGATTCCTCACATCACCAAGCAAATTATTTGACTTCTCAAAGTCATCATCAAGAAGATTAATGTGTTCTCCTGAAACCCCAAATAAGGCCATGGTGGGGTCCAGACCCTTGTAACCAAGTCCATGGACATTCTCTTTCAAAGTCAACTGAACAGGCATTACATCTCTGGGTGCAAATGTCACATTCTCTGGCTGATAGTCATCCTCTTCACCCTTTTACAAAAGTAAAAATCCATTACAAAACATAAGTAGTTTAAAACCATACAGCACTACAAAAATTTGTTCCATGATAAAATTTACTTAAGACGAGGATAGATTCAGAAAATTTTCAGAGTTCCCTAAACACCTAATGCCAAATTAGTGAAAGAACTGTACTAGGTTTATGTTAATGAGTCTTAAGCAATTTAGAAATATTCTGTCCATGAAGTAGGCTGTAGCCTTTGAAAGCACATGCCTTTCTGAAGAGTTAGTCTTTAAGGTGGCAACCTTCCCTGCCACATGCTTGACTTCAGACTAACTACCCTTCTCATTTTACTAAAAATATTATTTACAAGTGTACAAGTAATTTTTTTTTAATATAAAAAACAGTAGCAAGAACTTTTGCCTACACAATACCTCAGATCCAGACGCTTCAGGTGGTAATGCACAGCCATATATTTTTACTGTAGGATCTGTAAAAACACAACAGCACCATATTACACTATAATTCTTTATTAATTATGCCTCAATTAAACAAACACTAGAGCAAATGAAAAGTTTTTACAAATATAATCTTAATACCCAAAGGAGAGTACAATTTTCTGTTTCCTGCATTTCAAATTGGTAAAATTAACTGAACATACCAAGTTGTTGCCTGTTTGGCTTTCTCTTGACTCGAGGTCCAACTCCTTGTCCTTCTTTCCATCCCATTTTTCGCAACAATTCAACACCAATTGTTATTCTACAAGAAAATGTAAGAGCAAAAAATTATACTGATAAATTTTTTAAATATTCACAGTGGAAAAAAGATACACTTATAACAGTATACTTATAACTGTTATATAACTGTTAACTTATAACAGTATAACAGGTATAACAGTAGAATAACTGTATAACAGGTTTTCATAGCAGTTTTCTGTAAACACCATTCTCCAAGTATTATCTTTTGCCCATGTAGCTTGCATACAGAACTACAAATGATATGCAGTACAAATTTACATGTCAAAAACAAGCCAGGTGGATCCCCTTTTGAATATCATATTACACACATAATATAATAAGTCACACTAAGTGCAGCAGTCAGATATGTTTCCTTGCCAATACAGCATTGCATTTTTTTAATCTACTCACCTTGCAGGTGCTATTAAATCATCCAGCACACTTGCTCCTGGGATGGGTTCAGCTACCCCTGCAATCTGTCTAGCTTTTTCTTTTATTCTGTCTTTGGTTTTGGAAGCAAAGTCATCCGTTGTCGTAATTTCTTTAGGTGCTATCCCAAATTCACTAAGATCCTGAAGAAGGAAAAAAACCCAAAAAACACATCATGGAAAATTTCTAATAGGAAATAGTTTTTTCTTTGTGAAAGTCACCTTTGTTAATTCACACTGAAAAGAAAAAGAAAGGCCTGTGTGTTTTAAAAAGATGTTTAAAAGGAGATAGGCGTTCAACTCCTACTGACTTTTAATGAAAGCTGAGCATTTAATTTCTTTAAACACTTTTGGAAATCCCAGATTCATCCAGTCCCAGTTCTACGAAATGTATGTTATTTTTTTAAACGTACTTCTTCATCCATAAAATCTTCTGGTCCAAAGACTGTTTTGTCTGCTCTCTTCTGACGTGAGGATAAAAAAGTTGAAGGTGCCCATCCTTTAAAGAAAACAAATAATTAAACTCACATATGATGATAAACTTTGAAAGCAACACGGGAAGATTACATGTAAGGATACATCAGCAGAATATTTCCACACTTACAGGCAAAGCATTCAGAGGGTAACAGGTTCAAGGTTACTTTACCAGAGTGGTATTACCATTTGCAGGTGACAACAGTAAAGAAAAGTTAGATAACACCAGGTTACATTTATTTTCAGAAAAAAAAAAATAGTGTTTATATGTTCTGAAAATAAAAGCAAGGCTGAAAATCTTCCATAGAAGGAACTACTTTCAGACACAGTGGGCACATCTACACGTTCATTAATTCACCATAGTTACTGCACCTTAAGTTCAGCACTTGTTGCAGTGCAGTAGCTCCAGCACACACATTTTTTAGTGATGCTGCTGCACAGTAGCATATTGGCACCGTTTCTGCCATGACATGCTACTGTGCAGTATAACTGGGATACTGAGCATTTAACGTCTTGTGTAGATGTGCCCAGTAATATCTTACCTTCTTTTGAACCAACAGTGTTGAAGTAGCCAGCAGAGAAGCCACCAGTAAAAGCTCCATGAAAACGTTTGTATCGTCCCTTTTCATCTCTAACAGTCTGCTCTTGAAGAGGAACTGGCTTCTTAATATGTTCGCCTTCAATTAGAAAAAGAAATAACAATGGGAAAGTTAATTAACCTAAATAAAATATAAAACTCCCATTCCTCTCAACAACTGTTTTCTCTCTGTGACCAAGAACTGGTTTAAATAGGAGACACCTCTGGCATGACAGGGATTGCAGTTTGCATAGTAGCGAGGTGCACTGCCAAAACTACTGAAAATGGGAAATTATTACAGGAGGAGAAGAAAAAAGAAAAAGAGTAAGGGCACAGAAAATCAGTACAGATTACCTATTCTAATCTCAATTTTGTCTATGACTTTTTCTATGACCTAAAAAAGGTAAATCCTATCTGCCTCATAAATGTCCTGGCCTAAAACTTGACAGGATAATACCTATTCACCTGTTTTGGAGGGGGTGCTCTGAGGACTACATACAATGTTCTAAAGATAAAAAAGTGTTAGGTTGACTAAATTGCATCAACCTGAAGTTGTAGGAAACTTTGGAAAACAGGATGTATGGAAGACAGCAAGATAGATTTACACCTAATGGACAAACCAAAGTGTGTGCCTGTGTATATACATGTACATATACACATATGTATACAAGCAAGCACAAGCACATGTGTATATATGCATACACATATACACACACACATATATATAAACAAACACAAGCTTTCATGGGCTGAAGCTCACTTTATCATATGCTGCGACGATGTAATATGATCAGCATCTGATGAAGTAAGCTTTGGCCCACAAAAGCTTGTGCTATATCTATATAGATGTGTGTATATTTGTCAAAGTTTGTGCTGTATTTCTATCGATAACAGAGATATAGATGTGGCAGAAGCTTTTGTGTATGCACACACTCTCTCTGGTTAGTCTCTAAGGTGCGGTTCTACCCTGCTTTCTACTTGAACTACATTGCTTTGCTCAAGGACGAGTGACCCAGGGCTGAATGTAACCAGGACACTGGGGGCTAATAAACAATCATGGCACTGCCAATAGCCCAGGGGTGCTGCAGTGACAAGGAATCGAGGTCAGCTCTGCATCTGCAATCAGAGCAGGTCCTAGGAAATGGGTCGTCTCTCTACACAGAGGCAGGTGCCTGCTCAGATTAAGCCAGGCGCAAGGGACGTATCAGTGAGGACACCACATTTTAAGCAGCAAAACCCCAGTGGTTTCTCCACTGAGGCCATGACAACTCGGGTAAGAGCGAGGGAGGGCGACAGAGTGGGGACGGGCAGTGACAAGGCCGCAGGCCTCGGCCCCTGCCTGAGGGGCCTCCCCCGCCGGGAGTGGCGGCAAGGCAGCAGAGCGCGTTTTGAGGAGACGTGTCCCCCACCCCGCTCCGTCCCACCTGGGCCTCCCTTTTTCCCCCCACCCCTTAGGAATCAGCAGCGAAGCCTAGCGGGCGCGGCCCGAGCCAGCGGCTGCCCCCGGCGGCCTTACCCTCAGCCAGGGGCCGCAGCGCAGTGCCGTAGCTCACCAGATCCTCCTCCTCGCTGTCCCTGCCCGCAAGCGCCGCCATCTTCCTGCTACGGCGACCCGCGCGGGACACGCCCCTCACGTGGGGACGGGGCGGGGCAGGGGGCGTGGTCGGGAGTGGCGCTCTCTGGCCGTTGCGTCATCAGGAGTCGAGGGGGCGGCGCTAAGCGGCCTCTCGCGCCCTGTCTGGGTCCTGCCTCCACGTGAGGGCCTGACCCTGAGGACGGGGGGTGAATCGTGCTGGGAGCCTTCCCGTGTCCATAGCCAAACAGATGTCTCTTGTTCCTGAGGGAAGAGGCCTATGTTGCCAGATCTACATTGATGATTGTATTTGCACGATCATTTCAACTCTTGTACCAAGGACAATGCACGATAATGTTTGAGGCAGTTAATTGATGCAAAACCCGAGTCACTCTGAGCGTTTTCATCTCCTTTTGGGTTTGCAGTCAGCACTTTCTCAGGGCTGCTTGCCTCAAAAAGATAAGCTTTAACTTCCATGACTCCATTCTCGCTGCCACTTACAGTGAGCAATATCAAATTAATAAGACTTATTTGTACTTTTTTTCAGTGTGTGATCGTTTTTTCAGCAAATAGGATCATTTTGAGCTTCCGATACAATAATTTAATATTTAAGACCTGGCAAGGCTGGAGGAGGTCAAATAAAATCCTTTGCTATCCCAATTTCAGAGGGGACCAGCTGCAGCTGCAGTACCTGGCCAGGAAAAATACTCATCTACAGAAATCACATTCCTTTAAATAAGCACAGTTTCCAGATCTCCCCCATGTCCCTGCAGCTGTCGTGTCTGAGCACCAAGGGGGTCAGGTTGTCACCAGCTTTGTCAACTGGCACAAAAGCAAGCACCATCTTAAATACTCCATGCAGAAAAATCACAGATATTGTTAGAATTGCTGGGTGTACTAGCAAAAATACCTTTTCTTTTTCTGTTTTTTTTTTACTCCACGTAGCCCTGAAGGCCATGTCCAGACGTGCAGGCACGTGCAGTTTTTTGGTACCGCAAACCTCTTTGTGGTGCCACAAACTGCATGTATGGAACGTTAAAATGTGCCCTGCACTGCTAATTTACAGTGCGGGGGCAAAACTTAGTACTGGGATTTCCTAGTAGCAAAAAAAAAGTGCCGTGAAAATAAGTGGTGCAGAGCATGTGAAAATAGCATGCACTGGAACAAACAGAGGCTTGGTCCTCCAGTGAGAGACTCGGAGTGTCTCTCCTCCATTTGTGCCCCTGCTGCTCGAGCTGCGAGGAGCAGCACAAGGGCAATTTCCCAAAGCGGGACAATGTGTGCCACAACAAAGTGCACATTAAGGGTTGTGCGCTGAGCCACAAAGCAGTAGCATATATTTGTGCTGCTATTTGCGCCGTTGCAGTGCCTCTGCAAGCTCATCTTGACACAGCCAAAGAGTCTTTTGGGCTTGATGTTTGAAGGCATCATAGATCCTACGCAGAGACGTATAGCAAAAAGATCTCCACCAGCAGAATAGTTTATGATCATTTAGACTGCAAAAAGTTTTTGCCATGCTGCCTGCTGCTCTTTATTTCATATAGCGTCTTTAAATAATGTTACTAAGCTTTTTTTAAAATAGAAAAGGCCTGTTAGGCCTGTAGTCTTATTCCCTCAGCAGGGTTTCTCTGCTTTGCTGTAGTGGTACCTTCTAGTGATGTCCCTTCTAGTTTTAATAAAGGATGAGGTTTTTACCAGTTTTATCAGCTCTCCTCTCAGCTATACCTGTACAACTAGAATTTTCAAATTAAGTCTGACAGAATTTAGCCTGTTTTGTCTGTTACAGTGGTGACAATGTCTCATTACTCTGAAAAGTGATTCTGATACTTGTTAAATTCTCATGAGCTATGCAAGCAAAGTGTGGGACTGCTATGGTCGCATTAAGAGTATTTTGGACATGAGATGCTAAAAATGTTTTCCATATTCCTAAAGGTATGGCATGACGGTGCATTTGGGTTGGCCTGCTGCAATCTCTCTCATGCTTTCTAATCTACGCCAAATCAAATGGCATAATACAGCTTTTTCAGAGACTGTCAGAATCATATTTATTGGCCAGATGAGGTCACTCAAGAGCAATCTAATCAATCCTTAGAGGTAAAAATACCATTTTTTACAACAATTTGAACAAATAGGTAATGGAGAAAATCAAGGTGTTCCCATAAAAGAATGATAGTGCTCTGTATATTGTTCTAAATCAGTGGTCCAAAATATTGTGATTTAACCACGTTTGAGTGCTGTTTCTTGCTACGAAGGCAGTAACAAACAATATCCAAACAACATACAAAAAGACCATATCAAAGGTGTGTTCCTCACAACAGTCATGTAAAGAATCTAGTGCCTAATAAGGACTCTTATCAATCCCAGGATGACTGAACTGTAAAAACCTGCTGGGCATGTATTCAGTATAGAAAGGGAAAACATGGATTCCACTGACTTTCAGTCTTTAACAGAGAAAACTCAGAGCTCCATTCAGCCTGATACTTTTGTTTAAAGTACTGCCCTACTCAAAAGAGTCTGTGTAAAAACTGTTTTGCAGTACACTACTGTTCTGTGTGTTTGCTGAATGTACTAGCAAAAATATTTTTTCTACTTTTTTACTCCTCCTTGCCCTCAAGAGTCTTATTGACTGGATGCTTAAAGGCATAGATACCATAGATACATATAGCAGAAAAAATCTCTACAAGCATAGTTTTTAATGATTTAGGTTGAAGAAACTTTTTGCCATGCTGCCTGCTGCTCTTCATTTCATAGAATGCTTCTTAATAACGTTGCTTCTTAGCTTTTTAAAACGTTGCTGTGATACTGTTTTCTGTACTTGATTATATTTTGAAACTATTAATTATCTAATTTTTCTCTGAAAGAAAAGATGACTGTCACTGAATTGTCCTATATTTTGAGCATCTTCTAAAATGTGGTGCAGAGAAAACAATGGAATTAAAGCAATAACTGTTATTAATCATCATACATTTGTATTAGTAATACAAATAGTTTAATTGGATCAGCTCTCTGTGGTACTAAGCACTGCACAAAGATATAGGATGTCATACTTCCTCCTCTGAGCAATTTGCAGTGGTTAGTCATCTCCCCATGTAAAAATATTAGCAAAGTAAGCAACAATTGTTTATTTGCCAGACATTGTGTTTCTAAGATCCTCACTGCACCATTTCTGTTAGATCTACAAGTTCCTTTCATTTAACAAGACACCAAATTACTTTCAAATGATGATAATTTATAGGGTTGAAATTAAATCAGTCTCCAAGTGAAAGATGCACCCAGTGTCACACACAGCCAATTTTAATCATTAAAATAGTTTTAAACTCTATCAAGTGTCCCACAAGATGCCAGAGACTGAAAATGTAACCAAATTCAAGGAAGGACTGCAGAAATTCATATAAAATATGCCCACCAGTGGGAATTAAACTTGATAGGGCTTCAGTCTTCAAATTGCAGTGCTATACCTAGTGCTCTAAATGCTGAAAGCTGTAAGAGAAGAGGAACAGGGGGCAGCTCAGTCTAGATAGGCCTTATATAAATACTCTCTCCTTTAGCACCTGTTCTGTGGCAGAATACTGGGCTAGATGGACTTATGGTCTGAACCACTACAGTTTTCCTTATGTTCTTATATTAAATAAATTAGGTAGCGTGATTAGAAGAGATGTCTAAACCCTACGGCATTCTCAGCATGCTTATATGGATTCTTTGTTCATAAAGTTATTCAAGATTTATTTCAGCATTAGTAATTTAAACAAATTTAAAGAATAAAATACCTTTTCAAAAAAGAACAACTGATGTAAATTAAGTAACCCTGATTCCTTCTTTTTGTGGGACCCATTCATAAGACTAGAACAAATTACTGTGGGCGCATCTACACGTGCACTTTAATGTGCAGTAGGCTATGTTACTGCGCATTAAAGCATCATGTAAAGACTGTGACATTATGCTAATGTGCAGTAAAATAGTCTACTGTGCATTAAGCATCACTAAAAAAGCATGCAAATATGCTACTGTGCATTAGCACAGCCTAATGTACATTAATTTAGTACCTCACACTGGAGGTACTAATTTAATGTTCATTAGAAAAGGTGCATTAATGCACATGTAGACATGCCCTGTCAGGTGGATATATAATTGCTTAACTAGTGGCTAGCAAAGAGTAACTGTGAATGGATGAAATGTGGCAATGGCAGAAAGTTTGAAACTGGGTTCCACAGGGGTCTATTTTGGTGTGATGAGTGTGACAGGCCCACACCTGGCTTACATCCATGCCACAGCCCAGGTGGCCAGGAGCAATTAAAACAGCCAATACCACGTGGTTGGAGAAGGGGCCACTGGTTGACCTAGAGACTGGAGGCCACGGGCTCAAAATGGGCCTGAAAGCCAGAGCAGTGGTGGGACACATCCGGGCACCAGGAATAGAGCGGGACATCCTCCCTGCAGTCAGAAAAAGTCTGGAACTTCCCCTGCTGGCTAGCATGCCCAGGGGACAACACAACTGCGCCGTAGGAGGGACACAGCTGGAGAAGACCCAGAAGCACTTCTGGGCTGGCTAGAGGCCGGCTGCGCTTCCCAGGTTTGAAAGCTTCAGGTGAATGCTGGAGGACTCCTTCGCCCCCAGAGCCCAGAGGACAGAAGGGGATGCCAAGCCACTCACCACTGTTGATGGTAGTCAGCCCAGGAACATGCAGGTCATGTGGGCCTGGGAGAGGGCAGCTTATGGGCACTGTACTGGGGTGGACCCTAAAGGGAGGCCCAACAGAACCTGCACATCCTGCTAGGGTGGCAGCAGACTCAAAGTGCACCAACGGGGGACCGGTGGATACCAGGTTCCATACATGTGCTGCACAGGATGCCATGGGTCTGTGGCACACCTGGCCCAGTCGCTGGACAGGGAAAACCCCGAATAGAATGCCAGCCTGCTGCAAAGTCAAATTAACCCAGAGGAGGGAAGAAATTGAAGAATGCAGTGGGCACACCCCCTCAGGCTCAGGAGAGAGTTGCTTAGTGCAGGGGCAATGTTGCCCTGCCCACCAACCAGGCCAGGCTCTTTTTGGTT